TATCTTGAATCTGAAGCAAAGAGCAGCCAGATGCAGTGGCAGGATCAKCTAGAGATAACTAAGCATTCAAGACAAGCTGATTCAACTGGTATTTACCTGGAGCAAGGCTCCATACCTAGCAAGGCATTGGGGAAACATAAAATAAGCCAGGAAACAGAAGACATCAATATTTCTTATAGTATTTTTGACAAGTATAGGTGATAGGGAGYCATATAAATTCCTATGGTAAGTAAAAATCCCATGCTTGATCAAGATGAAATGATGGAAAGTAACTGATTTCAGTGCTGCATTTGTTTGTAGCAACACAAAAGAGTCATCCATCCCACAGTTACCAATATTCAGGAGTTTACCTGCTTTCTATGCTTGTAAATGGTAGCAATTGCMGTCAAAATTTCCCTGTCTGCCACAGGAGGCATTAAGGTTGATGAGCTGTTCAGAATTATTGCTAATGACTACAAGATATGATATTGCTCTTCACCTTCAAGTAGTAAGTGGTGTCAAGCTACGRTAATAATTTCCTGGAACATACAATGCACTTTTACTTTCTAATGTAAACTGTGCTCTTATTGATGCAATAAACTGCAACTGTTTCTTCAGGCTGTGGAAGACTTCCAGTAACTCATAAAAGCCTCGATCATGTAATTCTGTTGGGTGCTACTTCCTCCCAGAGCCTTCCTTGCTGATCTTGCAAGAGGGGCCCTACAAAAGAGGGAGTGAGCAGTGAATGTGGGCGCTTCCAAGCAGAGCTGGTTGTTGCCTCTCCAACCTGGCACTTCCTCCATGCAGTCACAGAAACTCACTGMCCCCAAACACTCACATCAGCTGAGCTGCAGCTCAAAGTCCAGAAATCACCATTCCAAGATAGGGAACTGTCTGGGATAACCTGTTTGGCATARCACTTCTTGGTAGTGCTCAGACAACAAATTGACTTAAATTAAAGCTAATTAAGATTAATATTATCTGAGAAAGCACATRCTTTCCTATACTGAATAACTCTGCAGCCACACTTCTACAACAGTACTTTCTTACCCACTGCTTCTTTGTGTTTCTGATCTGAGTCATCTGTCAASTCTATCTCAAGCCTTGTCAAGCCTTGTATAGTTCTGCCAAGAGAGTAAATTTCCTTACTCAGAGTACATTAAATAAAAGAAGTTTGGTTGGTTTTATTTTGTTTTCTTTGCTGGGATTCTTTTTCTTTTTCTTTTTTTTTTTTTTTTTTTTTTAGTTTTTTTTTTTTTTTTTTTTTTTTTTTTTTTTTTTTTTTTTTTTTTTTTTTTTTTCCTGAGGGAGCAGTAACAGCTCCTGCCCTGATGAACACATCTCTGATGTCCTCACCCTCAGCTCCCACCAGCCCCCATGGATCCTGCAACGAACCACGGGCTCTGCACTTCCCAGGTCCTCTCCAGGTTCCCAAGAATAATTTAATGCAGTCTAACATTACTCACTTACACATGGAGACCTTTTTAATTTAAATTGTTTAATTTGAAGTCAAAAGCGTGTTTTTGAATTAGTACCCACAATGAAGGGGGAAGGAAGCACACTCAAAAAAAAAAAAATTTGCAAGAGATAATTCGACACGTGAATACTCTCCATCATCTCCCTATCCTCCAGTCCTCCTCTTATCTGTCCCCAAGGCTGCAGATGTAAACTTCAAAGCCAAATAGTGCTTCCAACTGGAAATCCATGGTCCCCAGAGGATGTGGGGATGTTTCCAACTGGAAATCC